GAAGATGTGGCACATGGAGGATGTTTAGGGCAGTGAGATTGTTCTGTAGATACTGTAGTGATGGGTACATGTCATTATACATTTGTCCAAACCTGTAGAACATACACTGCCAAGAGTGAGCCCTAATGCATCCTAGGGAGTTTGGGTGACAATGACATGTCAATGCAGGTTCAACGGTTGTGACAAAAATGTCCATCCAGTCAGGATGTTGACAGTGGGGGAGTCTGCACCAGTGTGGGGGCAGGCGTGCATGGGAGCACTGTGTGCATTCCATTCAGTTTTGCTGTGAACCTTAAACTGCTCTAACAAATAAAGTCGAACATACAGGTAAAAAATTACACCAGACCACATTCTTACACCATATACAGAAATAAAACTCAAAATGGATGAAAGACTTAATGTTAAAACTCAAAACCATAAAACTCATAGAAAAAACCATAGGCAGTAAAATCTCTGACATTTCTCTAAGCAATATTTTTTTTCTGCCATATTTCCTCAGGCAAGGGAAACAAAAGACCAAAATAAACAAACGGGACTACATCAAACTGAAACATTTTTGTACAGCAAAGGAAACCATCAACAAAATGAAAAAACAACCCATTAAAGGGGAGTACAAATTTGCCAATACATCTGATAATGGCTTAATATCCAAATTTTATAAGGAACTTACAAAACTCAACTCCAAAAATCCAAACAACCCAATTAGAAAATATGCAAAGGACCTGAACAGACACTTCTCCAAGGAGGACATACAGAGGGTCCAGAGACACAGGAAAAGGTGCTCAGCATCACTAGCCATCAGAGAGATGCAAATTAAAACCATAATGAGATAGCACTTCACACTGGTGAGAATGGCCATCATAAAGAAATCAACAAACAACAAGTGTTGGAGAGGATGTGGAAAAAAGGGAACCCTAGTGCACTGCTGGTGGGAATGCAGACTGGTGCAGCCACTGTGGAAAACAGTATAGATATCCCCGAAAAAATTAAAAATGAAACAACCTTATGTTCCAATGATTCCACTTCTGGGAATATATCCAGAGAATCCTGAAACACTAATTCCAAACAATATATTCACCCATATGTTCATTGCAGCACTATTTACAATAGTTAAGCTATGGAAGCAGCCCAAGTGCCCATCTGTAGATAAGTGGATTAAAAAGCTGTGGTATATAATACAGAGTATATGAGTAAAAAACTCACCATTTGCAACAGCATGGATAGACCTACAGTGTATTATGCAAAGTAAAATAAGTCAGACAGAGTAAGGCAAATACCCTAAGTACGTGGAAACTAAGGAATGAAATACAATGAACAAACAAAACTGAAACAGACTCACAGACACAGAGAATCATCTAAGCTGGCACCTCAAGAACCAGAAAAAGGAAAGTGACCTGCACGCAAACAGACAGAAGGAAAACATACCAGAAATCTATGAAATTTTGTTGAAGATTTTATTTATTTATTTTTAGAGAGAAGGGAAGGGAAGGAGAAAGAGGGAGAGAAACATCATTTGGCTATGTTTCACGCATGCCCAACCAAGGGACCCAGCCCCACAACCCAGGCATGTGCCCTGACTGGGAATTGAACTGGCGACCCTTTGGTTTGCAGGCTGGCACTCAGTCCACTGAGCCACACCAGCCAGGGCAAAAATCTATGAAATTAAAAACAGAAATGCAGTAGGGAAAAATCAATGAAACAACAAGGTGGTTCATTGAAAAGATCAGTAAAATTGACAAATCTCTAACAAGGCTGACAAAGAACAAATAGCAAAAGAGAGAAAACACAACAGTGAAAGAATTAACATTGATTTTAAACAGTCTTTTCTAGAAAAACAGAAGAGCCTCCTCTTCTTCCAAGTTCATTTGATAAAGCTAGTATTACCCTGATACCAAAATCAAATAAAAAACTACCAAAAGAGAAAACTACAGGCTGATATCTGCCACTAATGCCAACTTTAAAAGCCTTATCAAAATATTAGCAAATAGAATTTATCAATATATTTTTTAAAATTGTAAACCATTGAGCAAATTATAAAAAATTGAGCAAGTATAAGACTGGTTCAATACCTGACCAGCAATCAATGTAATCCACCATATCAACAGACTGAAAAAGAAATCACACAGCCCTGGCTGGTGTGGCTCACCAGATTGCTAGGGTCACTGGTTCGATTCCCAGTCATGGCACATGCCTGGGTTGTGGGCCAGGTCCCCAGTTGGGGGTGCGTGAGAAGCAACCACATATTGATGTTTCTCTCCCCCTCTTTCTCCTTCCCTTCTTCTCTCTAAAAATAAAAATAAATAAAATCTTAAAAACAAAACTGAACTTTGACCTAAGCCTCAAACCTTACACAAAAATAAACACAGAGTAGATCATAGATTTAAAATTTAAAACTATTTCTTCAGTAAACAATAGGACAAAATCTTTGAGATGTAGGCTTAGACCAGCGATTTTCAACCGGTGCACCACAAAAAAAAATTTTTTTAAAGATTTTATTTATTTATCTTTAGAGGGGAAGGGAAGGAGAGAGGGAGAGAAATATCAATGTAGGGTTGCCTCTCGTGGGTCCCCCACTAGGAACTGGCCTGCAACCCAGGCATTGCCCTGACTAGGAATTGAACCATGATCCCTTGGTTTGCAGGCCTGCACTCAATCCACTGAGCTACACCAGCCAGGGCGCAAAATTTTTTTAAACATGCAATAACTGACTATTTAGTCAGGGGCGCTGACTTCTTTTCCCAAATGAAAAAAAAAAGCCAACACTACAATAGCCATCCCATGTGATGAATCAAAATAATACCTATTTATTTTTTGTCAGAGTGACAAAAAATGTACTTTTTGGTGTATCACCAAATTTTAATAATTAGTTTATGTGTTCCATGAGATGAACTAGGTTGAAAATCACTAAATTACATAAAGAAATTTGACACCAAAAACACAACCCATAGAAGAAAAAAATGGATAAACTGCACTTCATCCAAATGTAAAAACTTTCACTCTGAGGAGCACCAGGGAAAGAAATGAAAATACAAGTTACAGTGTGAGAGAAAACATTTGCAAACCACATAGCCAACAAAGAACTGGTACCTAAAATCTATTTGTAAAACCTCTGAAAACAACAATAAAAAACAGTCCAATTATAAAACAGACAAACAATGTAAACATTTGATCCAAGAGGATATATCATGGATAGCAAATGAGCACTTTGAAAAGACTAACATGATTAGCCACTAGGGAAATACAAATTAAAACCACAGTGAGCCCTGGCTGGTGTAGCTCAGTGGATTGAGTGCTGGCCTGGGAACCAAAGGGTCACAGGTTCGATTCCCAATCAAGACACATGCCTGGGTTGCAGGCCAGGTCCCCAGTGGGGAGCATGCAAGAGGCAACCACACATTGATGTTTCTCTCCCTCTCTTTCTCACTCCCTTCCCCTCTCTCTAAAAATACATAAATAAAATCTTCAAAAAATAAAAACTAAATAAAACCACAGTGAGATGTGACTATACATGTATCAGGATGGCTAAAATTAAAAAATATATATGACCACACCAAATGCTGGTGAGGATGCAGAAAAACCAGATCCCTCATACACTGCTAGTGGGAATGCACAATGGTTCTGGCCACTCTGGAAAACAGTTTCTTTTAAAAAAACTACACATACATTTATAACACAACCCAGCAATTTTATTCCTGGGCATTTTTTCCCTAGAGACAGGAAGACTTATGGTCACACAAAAACCTGTATATGGATGTGTATAGCAGATTTATTCACAATAACCCCAAACTGGAAACAACACAGATGTTCTTCAACAGGAGAATGGTTAAATAGTCTACAGTACATCAATTTCATAGCAATAAAAAGGAACGAAATTTTGACATATGCAACAACTGGGACAAATGTCCACTTTCTTCATCTGTAACAAGGGGGAGGCTCTCTCAAGGCCCTTCTTGTTTGGGAACTCAAGATACAGATGAGCAGGGTGGGACAAGATGAGAGCATATTGGAAATAGCTTAGGGCTTTTTTTAAAATTTATTTTAAATTTTTTTGAACTTTTGCAGGATCACAATAATTCTAAAGTGCTTCCCGGGCATTCTAGGGAGCCCGTTTTGGAATCAGGGAACCCCCAAAAAAAGTTTAGGGAAGATGCATTAGTTCTATTGGCACAAGCCCAGAGGTCTCTGTAGTTGCAGTGAATGACTTGAAGGACAGTATTTCCTTTTTTGCACTGAGATGGGACAGGGTGGACTTGAGACCTAAACTGAGAGTGCTCTGTGTTCCCAGGAACACAAGGAAATGTCTTTGTTCTAATAGATAAAATTGAGGGTTCGCTAGTCAAGGGACTTGCAAAACTGGAAAAAGCCACGTTGCCTAATGAACATTATAAGTAATGGAAAGTCCAGTGTAAGAGTATTCAGCTGGTGCTATAACATTTCTCCTGTGATTCTCAATCACCACCAGTGTCTGCATTGTGCTCAGGCTTGGAAATGAAGTAGGGAGTAATGAGTCCAGGAAAAATTCTGCAAACTCGGTTGCTACACCTAACCTGAGAAAGCCAAATCACTGCATTTAAACCTGCGAAGGCCGCATAACTGCACAAAACCTTCAAAGGCGGAGTGACTGCACGTGACGTGCACAGCCGTAAATGCACGTAAGGTGCAAAGGCCAACTCTTACGGGCTGAACTTTGAACCCTGCTAAAGCCGGAGACACCCCGCCAAGGGGTCTATTAGGGACGTACTCAGGGTCTCCCAACAGCCAATCCTAGTGTCAGATGTGCTTCAGGGCGTGGTCATGGAGACACTGGCCAATGGCAAAGAGGGCTATGAGTAGGAGGCGGGCCATTAGGGGCTTAAATTGAGAGTACAGGTGTCGCGGAGTGCTGAGACTCCGGTACCTGCTAGGCGATTGGAGCTCTGACTGTTCACAGTACTCAGTACTTCACCGTACTCAGTACCTCACTGTCTGCAAACTTCGGTTATTCCTTGCCGTTTAACACCATGGAAGATCTGCAGCGGGAGCGGGAGCGGGTGGAACGGCGCCACCTCCGCGAGAAAAAAGAGTTGCAGGACCGCATCCAGAGCATGAAAAATGCGGTGCCTAAAAGCGACAAGAAGAAAAGAAAGCAGTTGCTCCTAGACGTGGAGCGCCTTGAGGCTGAATTGGAGCAGAAGCATCAGCAAGAGCTGGAGAAGTTCGGGGAGACATACCCTGATACCAGCAACCTCGATGCCGTCGCTGCAGGTCTGGCCAAGATGAATATTGAGAATCGGCCTCCCCGCCTGTCGAAGGTGCAGAAAAGGCGCGAAAGAAGGGCGGCGCAAGAGAGAGAGCGCCAGAAGATGGCGGAGGAGGCTGAAGCAGATTACATGGCTACTCACCGCCGCAAGGAGGAAGAGAAGCTGGCTGCCATCCTCGCAGCCAAGAATCTGGAGATGAAATATATTCCGGTCGACAGCCACTGCATGTACCGCGCCATCCAAGACCAGCTGCCTTTCTCCGAGACGCTGGAGAACCTGCGGAGCCGCACGGCTGACTACATGCGACAGCACATCGACGACTTCCTGCCCTTCTTCAGCGACCCCGAAACCGGAGATGCCTACAACTCCGACGACTTCTTGAGCTACTGCGACGACATCGTGCACAACGCGTCGTGGGGAACCCAGCTCGAGCTGAGGGCCCTGTCGCACGTCCTGCGGTCTCCCATCGAGGTGGTCCAGACCCAGGCGCCCGCCTTCGTCGTCGGGGAGGAGTACACCGAGAAGCCGCTTGTCCTCGTCTACGTGCGTTACTGCTCCAGCTTCGGGGATCACTACAACTCCGTGAAGCCGCTCCCAGCCGGCGCCGTTGGGGGCGCCGCCCCGCGGTTCTTCTAGGCGGTCGCGGTCGCCACCGCCGAAGCCATCGCCGGTGCCGTGGCTGTTGCCGCTGCCCCGCCGCCATGGCCGTCGCCGCTGCCGGTGCCCCGTTGCTGTTGCTGTTGCCGCTGTCGTTGCTGGTGCCTTTGCCGTCGCCGCTGCCGGTGCCGTTGCTGTTGCCGTTGCCGCCGCCGTTGCTGCCGCTGCCGTTGCTGCCGCCGCCCCCAGAGCCGCCGCTGTCGTTGCCGGTGCCTTGGCCGTCGCTGTTGCTGTCGCCGCCGGAGTCAGAACCGGAGGCAGAACCGAAATCGTCGCCAGGACTCTCAGTAGGCTCAGTTTTTTCCTTTGGCTTTCTCTGGTTTTTCTTCGTTTTACTCAAAATTGGTATTCCTCCGCCTCGCTTTCCTACCTCTCATTCTTCTCTCTCTCTCCTTTGCTTTCCTTTATGGTATCTGTATTTTACCACTTTGGAAGAGTCAGTTTGAGAAGTTTCAACCCCGTCCGATTGTTCATGAATATGTTGGATAACTTACCTAAACTTGGCGTTTATGCGCTTGCAACAAGAGCTCCTTTAGTACTTTTTGTTCGTTAGAAACGTGTGTGGTTTCAAACTAACTTGTTTGGGTGTTTGCTAAACTTCAAATAATAGTGTTTGTTAAATGTAGAACATAAATGTAAGTGGTAATATAAGTTTATGTATAAGTGCTAACTGATAGGCTAAGTAAGGTTTACGCTAAGGTGTGGAAGATCTCGATTTCATTTCCTTTATTAAAGATAACATAGGGATGTGACTTTTTTCAAATAGTTGATCCATTCTGTTATACCTACAATTGGCATGAGGTTAAAAAAGAAGTGAGCAATATACTTCATTGATATTGGAGACATTGATATTTTTGAATTTGCCAACTGGATAGTAAAAGTGAAATGGTTTTGAGTAAACAACTTTAAGAAATTGCAGTTTTCACATCCTGCATTTCAGTGAGGCTACTTAAAGTGGTTAAAAAATTCTCTGTACACACCAAATGTTCTAAAAGTAAAGATTAATGCAATTTGTTTAAAAATAAAAAGTTTAAAAAACTTGGTTTTCTATTTGTGTGGAACTTGACTTCGTTCATACAGAGTTCATATCCCAGGATATCCTTTGGCAAAGGATTCCACAGGGTTGGGGAGTGGGAGTTGGGGGGACAGATGAGGCACTTGGGAGGAGGAATGGGCTTGCTGTCTTGGAGGTGGTCTGGAGTGAGTGAATGCAGTTTTTCACATAGAAGAATTTAGGGAGGGATCTTATCTCCGGGCTGCCCTGAGTTGCCGTTTTTCCACTCCTTGGAAAACATCATGAAATGGCTTTACTTAAGGATATTTCAATTGCTGTGCCTGACAAAGAACTCCCACTTGCGAAAACTCTCCAGTCCAAGTGTACATTTCAGGAGGCAAAGAAATGCCACTGGTTTATTGGGAGGGGAGGGGGTTTGGAAAATTCAAACGTGGAAATCGGAAATCGTGCCAGATCACTGTGCGAATGTGTGTATCAGGTAAGTTGCAGAAAGCTGGCTTGAGAAAGGAGGTCCTGAGGAAAGCAGGTGTTTGTGAGAGACCCTCCCCCAGAGATGAGAACACTGGCTGCAACAGGAAGGGAGGCAGAATCCCCAGAAGGTTGCTCGGCTGGGAAGAAGGCGGAACACTGGGGACAGGGTCAGTCTAGGAAGATGGGTGGGACATGACAGGGGAAAAGGTGCATAGGCTGGGGTGGGGAGATGGGGCACAGTCTGAGGAAGAAGGAAAAGTCTAGGAAACGGGGCACAGGTGGTAGAGAGACTGGCTAGAGGAAGGGACCTGAATGGGATAAGGGACATAGGTGGATGGAGGGAGCCTCACTGGGTGCGTGGGCAAAGGCCGGTGAAGAGCTCTTAGAAATGGGAAGGGTGCTTAACTGCAGTGGACTGCACTGGGTGGGGGAGGGGATCCAAGTTAAAAGAGGCAGGGGACCTTTATAAATAAGGGGATCTATCTACCTGGGAAAGAGCTGAGCTGCTGAGGATTCCTGGCAAGGGCAGAGGTCCAAGCTGGGAGCAGAGGCATTTAGGCAGGTGAAAGGCTTCCAGTGGCAGAAGGGGGCCCAGCTGGGGTGGGCTATACAGGGAGGAATAGGAAACTTGGCTTGAGAAGAGAAGCTGGCAGGGAGCTCAGCTATATCCTGGGGAATGCGGGTCCTGCTGGCAGGTGTGGAAGAGGGGAGATAAACTGAGGAAGAGGCAACTTGCAATAGGAGGTCTGGCTGGAAAGGAATCCTGGATGCTGAAGTGGTCCGTGGGGCGTGGGGCTGTTCAGTGGGGAAATGGTTCAGCCACACTTGCCCAGCCAGGGGCAAAACACTTGCCTGGGAAAGGGATCTGAAGGAAAGTGGGCGTTCTCCCAGGGGAAAGAGGCTCTGACTAGGGAACAGGGTCTGACATGTGGAGGGCTGCATGGAGGAGGGCACACTCAGGCTTAGAAGGGTGGAGCAGGCTGAGGCAGGGGACCAGGCTAGTATATGGACAGGACTTGGTAAGGGGGCCTAGCTGGGGAAAGGGACCTGTCCCAGAAGGGGGCAGAGGCAGCAGAAGGGGTCCTTGCTGGGGCATTGGGCTAAGGCAGGAAAGGGGACTTAACCACGTATGGGGCACAGGCTGGAGGAAGCCCATACAGTATAAGAAGGGGGGTCACAGAAAGAGAAGGGAGCCTGGCTGGGAGTAGGGAGATGGGGTTGGGTCCGGGCTGGGAATGTGGGCTTCGGTGGGCAAATGGGCCGGACAGGAAAAGCATACTTAGGTGGAGAATCAGTCTGACCTGGCTAAAGAGGAATATACCTGGGGGAAGAGGGAATAGGCAGAGAATGGGGACATGCTGGACAAAGGGAACCCGTCTGTGGCTTCGGGCACAGAGTGGGGAAGGAGGCCTGGCTAGGAGGGGGATGCTAGGAGAAGATGGTTAGGGAAGGAGGAATTGGCTGGTCAAGGCAACGAGGCCTAGGTGAATTTGGGGGGCACAGGGTGAGATGGGAGTCCCTCACTCTTAATGGTGGAATAGCTGGGGGAAGAGGACCTGGCCAGGAAAGGAGATTGGCTGGGAAGGTAGACATAAGCTGGGCAGAAAGATTTAGGCAGGGGAAGAGGTTTGGGTAGAAATGCACCTGTCTTTGTAAACTAAGTATATGTGGGTTTCTTTTTTTTTTTTTCCCTTTTTTTTGGGTACAGCTGTAAAATATTTGGATATAGGAAATGTGTTATTCTTGCAGCCTTGATATTCAGGGTGGATTGTAAAATATAAATTTTTTGTGAGATTTCAAAGATTAAGATTATTTTGATAACATTATTTACAGATGTAAAAGATGTGGTTATCACAAGTCTTGAGGGGGAAACTACTGCATAAAATAACTAACTTGGAATAAATATTTTGCATCAGTTTGGAAAAAAATAAAATAAAATAAAGAGACGACCACAGGGTAGCACAAGCTGAGGATTAGAGACTGGCTGGGATGGGGGCCTTGGGGATGAAAATCTCCCCGCAGGGAATGCTGGCCTGTGCACATATCTAAGGAGTCTGGCAGGGGAACGGGGTCTGCGAGGGAGGCACAGGCTAAGAAAGGAGCCACTGGCAGGAGAAGTTTGAATGCTGGGAAAGAATGGCACAGGCTGGGCTCAAGAGAATTAATAGGCAGGTAGAGGGGGCCTTGTGGGTGAAGAGGACCTGCTGCTGGGGAAGGACCTAGCTGCTGGGAAGGAGGGCGTGTGGCCTGAGAGAGGGCACATGGTTGAGGAGAGGTACCTAGCTGGGGGAGCGGGGGAAGGATAGGCATGAGGGGAGGTCTGGCTGAGGGGAGGGAAATGAGTTAGGAAAGGGGCTTAGCTGAGGCAAGGGTACAATGGCTGAGGAAGGCATGGGCCTTTCTGGAAGAAGGAGGCCCACCTGGGAAAATCAGCAGAGACTGAGGATACGTGTGGGTCCCTAGGTGAAGGGCCTGGGTCCCTAGGTGAAGGGCCTTACTCGGGGTGGGAGGGAGGCGGGGGGGGGGAGGGGGGGAGGGGGAGGCTCAGGTGGGAAAAGAGTCTCCAACCGGAGAAAGGGACTTGGCTTCACAGAGGTGCACATGTGAGTAAAGGGGTCCTGGCAGGGAAAGGTCACATGGCTGGAGAGGGGACTTGACCGGTGACCAAGAGCTGAGCGGAAGATGTTTAGCAGGGAAGGAGGTGCTGGCTAGGAAAGGCCAGTGAAGGGGCAGTTCCTTGGGAAAGTGGTCCAGCTTCGATGGGAGAAGCCTGGGCACAGAACCTGGCTGTGGGAAGGAGGCACTTTCTAGGAAAGGTTCCCCACATGGACAAGGGGACCTAGGGGTAAAAGGGGACCTTGCCAGGGGAAGTGTGGCCTGGCCGTGGACGGTGTCCACAGGGTGTCAGGTAGGAGAACCAGTCTGCCTGGGGAAGAACGGGGTCGGGGGCAGGGAGGGAAGGGTCCTGCAGGTGGAAGGGGATAGGTTATGATTGATGCCTGACTGAGGAAGGAAACACAGGGTGAGAAACTACCAGTAAGTGGTTAGAGGCCAGAGAGGTGGACACAGGCAGATAAAATGACTGATTCAGAAAGGGGCGGTGCTACAGAAGAGAGCCCGGGGCGAGGAGCTGGGGGAAGGGGCCAAAGGCTGAGAGGGAAAATTCAAGGTGGGTCAGGAAGCCTGAGCACTGGCGGGGGAGGGTGAACAAGCTGGGGCAAGTGCCTGAGGAGGGTCGCTACAGAAGGGGATGATGCTGGGGTGTGTGGCTTGGCTGGGGAGGGGACAGGTGGGGATAAGGGAAGTCTGCATAGCAGGGGAAGGGGAAAGGGAAGCAGCCTGGGGAGCTGGCTGGGCCGAGGACTGGGGCCCGGCTGGGGAGGAAGGTAATAATTGTATGAAGCTAGCGTGTCTAGGTGAAGGGCATGACTGGGTTTTACAGTACAAGCAGGTTAAGGGCTTCTCGTGGGGAAAGTATAATCTGCTGGGGGCCGCCTGGAAAAGGTTAAAGAGCAGGGTCTGAGAAGGGGAAAGGGGGAAAGGCTAGTGAGGAGGACCGGGGCCTGGCTGGTATAGGGTATAAATGGGTGTGGGATTAACAAAGGATTCCCCACTTTTGAAAAAGGGCGGGGGGGGGGTCTAGGGAATGGTGGCTGGCTCCAGGAGGAGGCACCGGCCAGGGAAGGGATTCTGAGGGTTACCCGCACATAAAGGGGATGGGCACTG